AGTTTCTAAAGCAAGCAAAATACTTTCTTGTATTATACGGGGTCTAGACTCAAAAGACAGAGACATCATCCTGCCCCTGTACAAAGCATTAGTAAGACCTCATCTGGAATATGCAGTTCGGTTTTGGGCACCAGTTCACAAAAAAGGATGTTGTGGAACTGGAGAAAGTGCAGCGAAGGGCGACTAAACTCATAAGAGGCATGGAGGAGCTCAGCTATGAGGAAAGATTAAATGCCCTGTATTTGTTCTCTCTGGAGAAGAGGCAATTAAGGGGGGACATGATCACCATGTATAAATACATAAATGGTACATACAGTATAGTGAGTTTGGTGCCAAATTATTCGCGATAAGGTCATTGCAAAGGGCAAGGGGGCACTCTTTGCGTCTGTAGGAAAAGAGGTTTAACCTTTGCATACGGAAAGGATTCTTCACAGTTAGAGCTGTGAAAATGTGGAATAGACTCCCCCAGGAGTTAGTTCTAGCTAGCTCAGTTAATTGTTTAAAAAAACATCTGGATGTATTCCTAAATGCACAGAATATTATTGGATATTGAGTTCTTATAGGTATATTAACCATCAGAGATCGTTGATCCAGGGAATATCCGATTGCCTTATGGGATCAGGAAGGAATTTTTTCCCCCTGTTGGACAAATTGAACCATGCTTTATAGGGTTTTTTTTGCCTTCCTCTGGATCAACGGGGTAGCTGTGGGCATTCCGTTCTGTTTAGGCTTTTCTTTTCTTTTTCTCTGTATCTCTATAGGCTGAACTCGATGGACTTGTGTCTTATTTCAACCTGACTATGTAACTGTTAGACACCCTGTCAGGAGACCACACATTTCAACAACTATCTCCCCATTAATTTATATATGCGTGCAACCTATTTTATGCATAATGTTAACCTGTAAAAACCTCTCTTGTGTAGCTATTCAAAAGGCCTGAGACTGATGAGCGAATGACCCCCTGTGTTTTCAGAGCAGAGGGGAAGCCGCTCAGCACAATGCAGTACCAGGACCTGGGAGCTCTGGCTGCTACAGTGCTTTACAGGAGGTGGGCTGACCAGGTATGGCATATGCATACTTACATTGGGCCAAGCTGCACCAATGTAAGTATGAATAATAGGTCAAATATATATTTCAGTTATGCCGCGTCGCCCAATCAAGATGGCTGAGGATGCCATATTTAGGAAAAGAAAGGGGGAAGATGTCGGGCTGCTGGAGCAGAGGTAAGTGCTGCTTAGTTTACAAATACATAAAGTCAGGCCCGGATTCCCCACAAGGCCACCGAGGGGGAAAAGGAAGAGCAGCAAAGAGAAGGGAAACTACCATGGATTACAGTAAGGCACACATTACAGTATTGGTTTATGTTAACAAATCTGAGGGTTTAATGTCACTTTAAGTAATATAATTACATGGAAATGCAAAATGATCAATAAAGTATTGATTCACCATGGCTGGTGTGACTGTGGTAAGTTAAGGGTTCACATTTCAATATGAGTAGCGACACATATTTCCTGTATGCAGGGGCGTAGATAAGGGGCGGGGGATAGGGAGGTTCAAACCGAGCCGAGTGTCCTGGCAGTGGCTAGCGAGGGAAGGGCAGAGGGGGGCAGGTACACCCGGCACGCAGTTACTCCCGGCACGCAGTTTAACAGCGTTCTGAAGGCTCCAGAGAAGGGCCCATCTAAAGGGATTACGGGGATGTTCTGTTTGATAAAACATCGGTGACGGCTGGAGCAGACGCCGATGTTTTATCAAACAGGACATCCCCAGCATCCCTTCAGATGTATATGTTTCTGCCTGGCCCTGAATGATCTGTACATGTCTCAGTGCGGGCCCTGCAGGAGACAGTGATCAGGATCAGAAGGCTGCTTGGGGGACAATAAAGTTAAAGTGACATTAAAGTTAAAAAAATGTTTCCCTCCACCCAATGTTAATGAAAGCACTTACCTTAAATGATGCCTCTTAATCCGATCTTCTTCTTTCCTGGTGTTTTTATCTGTCCCTCCAGCGGTACTGCGGGTCTTTGTCCAGCGCTGACTCCTCTGAGCTTGCCCACGGTGTCTGCATGCGGGTGCACGCGACTTACCTTGCGTCTCTCCTCGTCTCCCTGCCAAAAATACGAACTGCGCATGCGCCTGCCACAAGATGCTTTGCGGCCGCCCGAGCAGTTCCGGATTTTCGGACGGGAGCGCGTGGCGAAGACACAGATAAGTTTAAAGCGCAAAGCACAACTCCGCACAGCCCACCCGAAACCCCGCACAGCCCACCCAAGACTCCGCACAGCCCACCTGAGACTCCGCACAACCCACCTGAGACTCCGCACAACCCACCAGAGACTCCGCACAGCCTACCTGAGACGCCGCACAGCCCACCTGAGCCTCCGCACAGCCCACCTAAAACTTTGCACAGCCCACCAGAGACCCCAACAGGCCACCTGAGACCCCCACAGCCCACCTAAGACTCCACACAGCCCACCTGAGACTCCACAGAGCCCACCCGAGACCCCACCAGGCAACCCAAGACTCTGCACAGCCCACCCGAAACTGCACAGACCACCTGAAACTCTGCACAGGCCATCTGAGACCCCGCAACTCACCTGAGACTCTGCACAGCCACCTGAGACTCTGCACAGCCCACCTGAGACTCTGCACAGCCCACCTGGGTGCTGAAGTGGCCACGGATGTCGCTTTTTTTTTTCCAAACCTTGGTGTGTCTGCTAGATAAAGTCTTATAATTTGAGGAAGCTGGCCCTGCCTGTATGAGTTAAGAAAATAGAGAACATTGGAAGGCTAGGTACAACAATGTGGGATAACTGAGAATGAGAAAAGCGATGGGGGAGTTATTAGGCACACGTGTGTGGTCCAGATAATAAGACTATGTTCCAGTGGTGTGTAACTGAATGGTATTGTAGATCAAGGCTACAGTAGGTGGTGAGAGTGCAAAGAAGGAAATAGAAACAATTGCGGTTCATTCTAAAAGAATCAGAAGGTTGAAATAACACCCACTCTGACCAGGTTTGGAGGAATGATCATTCACGGTCGGTGGGCTCTTGCCTTCAGGTTCTCCATAGCATAGTAGCATAATATGGTTCGTAATAGCAGTCCAAGATTGGAGGGGAGGGAGGTACCTCTGGTTTCCAAAGGCAAAAATTGTAGAGCATACTGCAGCAAGGCGGTTTTGGCTATGGAGCCTGGAAAATAGAGGACATTTTTGGAGGCTTCCATACCACAAGCTACATTAAAACATTGTCAAGGTACCAAAACTTTCCATGACTGCATGTCTGATATATCTAGTCACAGGAAGACCTCACTCCCCATCACTGCATCTTCCCTCCTCCACCAGCACTGACAGAAGTGGCAGCACCATCACCAAGAGCATCAACCACTGTGGCCTGTCATGTGTGATGTCTTCCTACCATGGTTACAGGAAGAGGTGCTGGACCAGAGCCATAGGATAGCCATAGCTTATCTTCATTGATCACCAGTCCCTGAAAACTTAACCAGTCACCCTATGAATTATTGGCCCTGCAGGGAGGACAGGTATCCTAAACTGGTCCAGTTTCCCATTCATCTGCTCTTCTTCCCACCCGTCAATGTCCTCTGACACCAAGGGCACATAACAGTTCTATGCCGGGGTCAGAAGAGGAATTTCCATCAAAATGACCATGTCAGGTTTTGGCAGCACGCTGATGGAACAATGTTGGTCAGACCTGCAATGACAAATACGTGACTACAGATTCGATATTGTTAAACAAAGTTAACCTTAAAAATGACATCACACTGCCTCCGGCCAGCTTGTCTTCTTCCCATCGTGCATCCTGGTGCCATCTATTCCCCAGGTAACCGGCGACACACACGCACACACACACACACACTGGCCACTCATATGATGTAAAAGATAACAGGGTTCATCAGACCAGGCCACCTTCTCCCATTGCTCCATGGAAAGAGGCGAGCAGAGCGGCCATACCACCCACAGGACTCAAAGAGATGCCGTCTGAGGCAACAGCCTCATTAAAGGGACGGCCCTGCTCCTTCCTAATTGGACACCGGTACGGGTGGCACCACCTACTGGTGTCTGCGCAATGGTGGCCTCCAGGAATCGAGTCTGAATTTTTGTTGTGTTTGATGCACTTGTTATCACATTGTTTGCCTGATAAAGGAACCCCTCCGAAATGTTGTGCTCTCCTGTGACACCATGATCATCAGATGTCTATAAAGATCGATATGGTGGATTCCAGTATGCCGGTAACTTTATTCCTCATTTTTCAAAAACAGGCTTATCAGTCACCATGCACTCCTATGACACGTGCCATGCTTTGCGTTCTGACACACGCAGTGTGAACATGGCCTTATATCATCAGGTGAACATGGCCTTATATCATCTGTAGATTGTCCTGAAGCCTTCTGAGTTATGTGATGGGAGTATCCCTGCAGTTGGGGGTACATCATTGTCACCCAGGCAAGTGGGGGACAGGGATGGGAGGATTTACAAAAATATAAATCTGTGATTCTGTTAAAGGAGAGGCAATGGAGAATGAGAGTGAAGGTCCCTAGATGATTGAGTAACCCGAGCTCGGGAAATGTTATCTCCCCAGCACGCAAATGTCGTCATCATCCTTGCCAGTTTCCACACCAACATAAACAGCGCGGTGGGAGGGGTACGGGCTGCCGTCTGCGCAGTGCTCTGCTCTAGCCTACAAAGAGTTAACAGTGGCTTTGCAGACCCTCTTCCCCCGCGCTGATTGGCCGCATGCTCTCTGGCCGTCCCCTCATGACCCGCTGCTTAACACTTTCACACCCAGTCCCTGCCTCGCCATTGACGATCATTGGTAGTAGTTATTGGACTCCGCCCACTCGGCAGGCAGCAGCGGGGTGGGGGTGGGGCGCTCATTCAGTGTGCGGACTCCGCCTCGGCAGGGTGTGTGTGTGATCTGTGACTGCTTGTTGTTGTTTTGGTGAAGGAGGACCTAGCGGGGAGGACTCGCCCGATCATCTGCACCGGGGAACGGCCTGGCCACTCGTAGCCATGGGGAACTGTCATACGGTGGGGCCCAACGAGGCGCTGGTGGTGTCTGGTGAGTACGGGGCCTGGCTGGGCTCGGTTTGACATGCCCGGTGCATTGTGGGTGCACATATGGAGTCCGAATGCGGATCACAGTGGAGGGGAGACCCACAGCCGTCATCAGGGTCTCAGCCTTGTGATCGGTGTTGTGGTTATTTATGGCACACACAGACGGATCTAATCGGACAATATTATTAGTCAGCATGTGTGAATCAGTGATTCTCCTTAATGTGTGTGTAGACGGGCGTTGTGTGCTCTTTGCCTGCAGATTGAGTGCAGAAGACACGCATGGGAGTATGTTACTTGTGTAAATAGACCGGCGTTCTGAGACCACCCCTTCTATAGGGTGTAGTGAACACTAAAAAGCAGCAGGTAGGTGGGGGCAGGGGGTGGCTGCAGGTAGGTGCAGGGGTGAGTGCACTGGATGCAGTCCAACAATGGCACGTCTCCTGCAGCCGAATGGTAACCATACATGGCTCGATCCCTCAACGAGAAGAAACCATTCCACCAAATCTCCATGGAAGGAGGAATCTCCGCTGCTGGCTGGTTACCCAGTCACTGCGACTGACTCAAGTCAATATTCACCAATGAAGTTTGGCAGGTACCTGCTGGATGAGTCAAAATTGGACCTGTGCAAGCACCACCCGGCTTGACAAAAGCAGATTTCATAATCGACAGAGCCGGGTGGTGCTCTCACGGCTCCAATTTTGACCGATCCAGCAGGAATCTGCTGAACTGAATAGAACAGGTCAATACAGAAGAGCCGCCTGACTCTTGTATGTCAGCAAAGATGAGCAGACGTTTGTACAGCAACCATCATAACACAGGATTGCTGGGAAGGCAGATGAACGATAAACCAGGAGATCATTGTGTGTTGCACAGTTGTCATCAATCTGTATTATCTTGTTGTGTATGGCCATATTTAATTATGTAAATTGGTGACATCTCAGTATGTGTGTATCGGCTTCTTCAGCAGTGACACGGGTCAGCAGAACCAAAAGAAACCAGAAAGCTCTGAGCTGCTTACATAAAATAGTACTGTGTGTGTACACACACACACACACACACACACACACACACACACACCCACACACGTGTAAAGAGAAGGACCAGCTACGTATTCTGCATTTCAGGACTTGCACCCTGCAGATAGTTGTTTGCATGAGTCGGGCTCATTATATGTGAGGCTGTACAGCATACACACCCACATACACCATTCAGCTCCTCATCTGTCTGGAACATATTCTCGTTCTGTAGATCAGATAGTTTCCGACGTGTACTTGATTCATCCGGTGTTTTGGTACCGTGATCTTCATGGGTCGAGAAATCCAGCGGAGACCCGGGGCTGCCCTCCTCACCCGATGCCTGTTTATAAAAGATGGTGAATCTGCAGGGAGTGGCAGCACTTAGGATTGGTTCAATGCAGCGTAATCATCCTATTCCCAATAGGGCTCTGGGGTTGACCCTTTCCTGTCTGGTGCAGCTCCCCTTAGCACTGATCAGGGTGGGGTTGGTGGAGGAAATAGGATAGGGATGCAAGGATGCTTGATCTGCGCCTCATGTATTATTATTCTACAGGATTTAAATAGCAGTTGCTTACATTTGCATCCTGAGTCTGCATGGTAGGCTTATAAGAGCTATCCGGTACAGTAATTGTTTTTTATAAAGGTTATATATATATATATTATTTTTATTTTTTTTAATTAGTCAACAGTTTTCGCAGCACTGTACAATATAAAGAGAGACCGTACAGTCACAATAAAGTATATGCAGTTGGAATTTCATTGGAAAATGGTCATTTTCTGATAAAACATGGGGTTAAAATGAGTATCATTTTTGAGCATAGCGATGAAATAAAAATCGAGGGAGCAGGATGGAAGCATTTTCTCAAATGAAATTATAAGAGTGAATGGTTTTCGTTGAGGAAACTCCATTCATTTCAAAATCGAATGTTAAAACCAAACAACATTCTACAAGTCTTTGATGGCAAATCCCCAGAGCCAGGTCACCAATACTCCTTAAAGTGACACTAAACTCAGGAGTTAAATCCTAAAAATACATTCAAGTACCTTTTTAATATTAACAATAATGTATCTTATTTGTGTATCACTCGGCTGTAGATCCTCAAATCATCTCTGAATTCATGCAGATAATGTCCTTCCTCCTGGAGGGGGGCTACTTTTGTTCCCCATGGTTCCTGTGTGTGTTGTAAAGTAGCCATCACCCCAAACTTAACATTTGGCAGACTGTAAGCTCTCACAAGCAGGATTCATATGAAATTCTAACCATTCATACCCAGCTTTAGGCTAGGTTCACACCTGCACTACACCGTACGACGTGCTTCCCGGGATCACGCGGTCCTGCACAATGCAGGCAGCGGCCCCATCGACGTCAATGGCGGGACATCCGCGTGGCAATCGCAGAAAAAAGGTGCATGTATCTTTTTTTTGTGTGCGATACATGATGAGCTGCTGTTTTAGCCGCGATCGTGTTCGGAAGCACGGGCGGAATCGTGGCAGGTAACCGCCTAATCTGGCCGGCGCGACTGGGGTGCCATTAGAAAATGGCACCCACAGCGTGATCGGTTCACTACCTGGGCGACTCCTGACTGCGCGGAATCGTGCACGATTGCTGCACGTGAGGTGTCGCCTAGGTGTGAAGGAGGACCCTGCTTGTGAGAGCTTACAATCTAAATGAGAAGGGCAAGTGATACAATCTGCTTTTATTACTCTGAAGAATGTATTACCGGTCAGATAAGGTTTTATCTCCAAAAAGTGTTGGCACCAGCTATGGTTGGACTTGTCTGGGGTGTGTCTGATATGACACAGGACTGCAACATGTAGCTAGCAGGATATAACAACAAATGGCCGGAGTCCAGTCTTTTATGATGACAAAATAAATCGTAGCCCATCACAAAGCCTGATCCTTATTATTATTTCATGTGGAGTTTTCAACGTTTTCACACATCCTGTGATCTTTGCAATGTCTTGGTTGAATAATCATGTTGTTGTACATTTGGTCATATGACTTGGTTGATGATTGTAGGAGTGTGTTCCTTCAGAATCCAGTGCCTGCGTTCTAGTTCCTCATGTGCTCTGTAGGAAGTAGCATAGACCAGTTTCTGGAATGATGGAAATGTTACACAAGGACAGCGTAGGAAACCAGGCAGACTTACCTGAAAGTTGTGTGCGGAGCTGTTTTACCCAGTCCAGTCTGTGGGTGTAGGATACGGTGGGCTTTGAAAATTTGCTCCAGTGAACCTGTTATGTCAGAAGCATAAAGGATTCCATCTCTGAGCTTCCCTAAATGCAAGTTGTCTGACTGTCACGTTGCTCACTTTCTTCAGCCCTGGTTCACACCTAGGCGGCACCGTTTTTGCACGTTTGTACTCGCGATGGCAGCATGCGGTTATTTGCGCATTAATGCACGTAGGGCACATTTGTACGCGAGTACATGTAGATGCGCATTTTGATTGGCAGCTCATAAACCATTGTGGGCAATGGAAGAATGCGCATATAAATGCGCACGAAAATCTGCAACATGCTTGTACGTTTTTGGGCATTTCCAATTGTGTATATGGAGGAAAAGCGCTTTTAACTGCCCAAAGAAGCTCCTGTATCTTTTTAGGCGAATGGCGTTTTCATTCTAAGCGTTTTTCTGCTCAGGTGTGAACCAGGCCCATTGAAAATCATGGGATTTCTTGTGTTTGGCAGTTAAAAGCGCTTTCCGAACTGCTCAAAAACGCCTAGGTGTGAACCAGGGCTTAATTCTTTAAAGGAGAACTATGGGGTTACGGCTTTTCCCCATAGTTCTCCTTAGGGTAACGGGAGGACACAAACTAGCGTTAGCTACTGCTCGCAGTATACTGAGACGCCGCAGCTGAAACGGATCCCGACAATTATGTCTGGATCCGCCCAGCTGCATGAGTGACAGCTGGCTCTGCCTATCTAGAGGCAGAGCCAGCTGTACCCGCCCCCTCCCCGTCCGTTCCGCTAGTCAGCGCTGGTGGAGCGTGGAGGGGGGAATCCAGCCACTCCCCTGTCACGGCAGAGAGCAGTCTCACGGCAGAGAGACAGTCTCATTGTCACAGGTCGGCTAGAACTATGAGGTGAGTGAAAAGCACTCGCCTCATAGTTCTCCTTTATATTGCTGAGCGGGAACTAGTGTGCGAATAAGGAACTCCTGACTTCTCTCTGACCTTCCTAATGTTCAGTGACTCAGTGTTCTGAAGCTTTTCTCCAGGCAAAAAAAACCCTGCACCTAATAAAAGTTTTTTATTCAACAAGCTTCAAAACCCACAAAAGTTCCCTGAATGTGCTGTCATGTGGTGATCGGGAGCTGCAGTCCAAGCCCACTGACCGGTCTTATTGCTGCCCCGCATGTCATGATGTCACAGCTTGAAGTTATAGGTACCCCTTTGATGGTAGGCTGATAAATTTTTCCTCCACCTAATAGGAAGTGAATGTGAAAATATATTTTAATGCAATAAAAACAAATATACCTACATCATTTATTTTCAAAGCTGCATCATAATTTTTCTACAAAATCACCCCACACTTCAATACACTTCCACCAACGCTGCGCCAGTTCTTGAAATCCGTCCAGTTTTTTTTTCTGGAAACTCTTTTCTCAGTGCAGACTTCACCTCTTCATCACAGATGATTGCTGGCGCTTCAAGTGTTCCTTTAGGTTGGGGAACAGGTGGAAATCACTAGGAGTCAGGTCCGGGCTGTACAGTGGATGCGGCACCACTGAAAAGTCCAGGTGTTGAATTGCATCTCATTCTTTTTAATGCAGTAAAGAGTTTCAATATAACGTTCAGAGTTTATTGTTTTTCAAGAAAGTCTGCAAGAACAATACGGGAACAACAGAAATGAAACCCTTCCAACACGACAATGCCGGGCCTCACGCAAGTGCAGCAACAAGAGATGCAATTCAACGCCTGGACTTTTCAGTGCTGCCGCATCCACTGTATAGCCCAGACACAACTCCTAGTGATTTCCACCCGTTCCT